AATATTTGCCCTAATCTGTAAAAAGTACTTCAAAAATAGAAATTAATTATATCTAAGTTAACTAAGATATAAGAAGTTAATTATATCTCTATATCTCATTGTATCTAATTGTATCTAATTATATCTGTATTGAATTTTTGTATTGTTAGGGCTTGAGTGGACTTCAATGGGATTTTCTGATTCGTGGGAATCATGAAGTGGTACTGCAGTAACACTGCAGACCTTTTTCTTTTAGAGAAACAGAATTCTGTGTCTCATAGATTTTATTTCTTTAATGATGACTCCTACATCTGAGCTAAAGGAAGGGAGTACTGCAGGTATTCATCAGGTTGATTGCAACAGCTGCCAGGCTACAAATGGGTGATTCTCATATACTTCATTGGCACTTGAATAGTCTAAATCTCAAAATCTTGTTTCTAGCACAGGAGTGGGTTTTTTTTCTGTTTATATGAGTATGTGGTACAGTTGCTTACAGAAAATCTTACATGTATAAATTTGTTTAGCAAGCAAGGAAGATAGTCCTAGGAGGTTGGTCGTTTTAAATTTTATATATTCTGAATTTGCAATTATTTTTCCTGGATGTTAAATATTTTAAGGTAATCAGTTGGGAGAAGTTCATGCAGGCTGACCAGGAACACAGATTACAAAGTCTGGAATTCTGGATAACCATATTATTCTTCCTCTGCCTGTTTCAAGAAATCACAGTAAGGGATCAGCATTACTAATGGGTCTTTCTTTGAGTAATGGGACACCAGCTAAAGAAAGTGGTTTTTTTGCCTGTTATGTGAAATCTCCTGTGTGTAGTGTTTCATAAAAAGAAGGCTGCTTTCATATGTGAATTGTTGCCATTTTGGTTTTACTATATGTATTCATTCTTCATACTTCCTTCATCTTTTCTTACTTGGAAAGTAGGTTTTCCTTGTTGATCTGGCCATTTATTTTTTTGTCAGTAATGAGAAATTGAGGTTGTGTAGGAATAAAAAAAGGCTATGTGAGAGTTACTGAGAAAGTGTCACATGTAATCCTGTTTCCTCCCATCTATTATCTTACATATCTGTAATTTTATAAGAACTTCCTTAATAAATTAGTGAGAAGACTGAACAGTAATTTATGATTCAGGTCAGTGGAATCCAGGCATTTTCTGCTTTCTATTTGGGGAATGTCAGTATCTGCATTAGTATGAATCAGCTGTGTGGGTGTTATGGCACATATCTGAGAAACTATTTAGTGGTCAAATCCTCCAGACCAGGTGCCTGTATTCATATGCTGGCCTGTTGTTTGTCATAGCATGGTCTCTAAGCAGAAAGGAAATCCCTTGTTAGTCAGCAGCAGAAGACATCATGTGGAAAGTCATTTGAAGGTGAAATAACAATTACCTGCCTCAGAACAGCTGTGATTCTTTGAAATTACTTCCAACACATTATGTATGTTTTTATATGCTTAATTGCAAAGTGCTCCCCCTGTGGCATTCTGTACTCATGGCAAAACTGTGGGAGAATTTACTTACTCTATTCTACACCTTTCAGAAATGAAGAATCACAGGAAAGCAGGAGGTATCTCAAGATCTGAGAGGCTGCTGGTCCACCTAATCTAAAACTACATGTGACATGTATGTTTACCAGGGATGTATTTCTGAAGTTGAGCTGAAAGTTCATAGTTACTGTAGAAAAGAAAGCAGATTAATTTCTTTATATTGCTATATGTCATATTTTCTGTTTTGTTTGAGCTGTTTTTGGGTTGAGGTGTCTAATGTTACTAAGTATATTTTCTCTTATTGAAGTTTTTCAGTTTACCTGTTGGTCACTCTACATGTATCATGTCTTGAATGGCCACTAAGCATCCTGTTTTACCAGCTTTGTCAGCTTCTGTGCCAAGAGATTATTCTTTAAACAACTTAATACATGAAATATATTTTTTTTCCTTCTTCACAGTTGTCTTCTCTTCAGCTAGAAGTCTCTGCTCTTGTGATCTCAAATATAGGGATGTGTTTTTGTCTTATGTTTGGCTCTGTTGCTGACATAACATAAACTGAATTGGACCCTTCTATTTCTTTACTGTACTTAGAACCTTACTTTTCTGTATATAATATAATTAAGCATTGATGTTACATTAGGATGTGACTTGGCATTTGCTTGGAACATGTTTTGTGTGCAGAATAGAACTGTATTTACCGAATAAGAAGCATGTTTTACATTAGAATAGATATGTAAAGTAATCCTTTCTGAATATATTGTGTCAACTGCCTTATTATTTAGTAGTTCATAGTCCACACTTTTGATGTACTATAGTAACTCAGTGAAATTCTCTACCTAAAGTTTAGTGCTGCTCATTACTTAGTCTTCTTAACTACTACTACTACTACTAACAACTTTAATCCTTATATATACATGGTCTGCTCTTGTCTCTGTGTTGTACTCTCTCATTTAGTTTAGCTAATCTGTTTAGTTTATATATATCTTAAACTCCTTTTTATTCACTATGCAGCTCATGATTACACCTGTATCACATTTAGAATTTAGAACTAATGGGTAGTAGTACAACAATTGCCTGAAATTTATATCCTGTTATTTGAACTAACAAAAATGTGGAATGCTGAAGTATAAAACCACTAGGCCTCTTGGCAAACCTTTAAATATTTTTTTTATCACTCATAGCAAATGAGCCTTATCATGTAGAATCATTGTGGAGATTGACCTGTCTGTATGTGTAATTTATTGTTCCTAAAGTTTGAGTGCATACAACTCAATTAAGCCTACAGGGCATTATTTGTCAAACATCATTTCTGCTTTTGTTATGGGCTCAACAGTTTTGGCAGCAGATAAATGTGATCACGTGTTTCTTACGCTACAAAACACTAATACTCCAGGAAACTTTACCCTTGTTATAAAGTTCTAGTTGCCTGGAAACTCAGTTTGCAATCTCCAATAACTACTAACTTTTTTCTGTGCTAGTTTTTCTGATGCTTCACAAGAACATGCTAAAAGGATTAATATCTTAAATTTGTTTAATAGATACACACAAGTCTATTACTGGGAATTTGTCTTTTGCCTTTCATTCATTGTCAACTCTTATGTCAGGTGATCCTTTCAAATTAGTATCCTTGGGAAGTGATGATTCTAACATTGTCAAACTGCTTTTTATCCCCTTAAATTATGATTTTTTATTATTTCATGATAGGAGCTGGCTGTAATTCTTGAAACCAACCTGTTTTATAATACTCATTCTGTAACTTCCATTTCCATGTGTAATAGTCTACTTGAATTGCACCATAGCTAATTCCAGAAGTTGCTTATCTTAGGAAGGCCTTGGAGTACTGCAAAAGCCATGCAAACAGTGCTCAAGATAGTGTTTGCTGGTCTCTGATAAATGGAACATTCATACAGGCAGTAACTGCTGGAAACTGCAGTTAACAATGACCCTGCCTTCATGTTCAGGCAAACTATTTTTTATTTACCCAAGGCAAAGGCATATTTCTTTAAGAGAAAGGCTAGCTGTGTCAGCTAGCAAGATTGCAAGACTGTTTGGCAAATTGGTTGTGTTGACAGGGTTATAAGTTTCTGTCAGCAACCGTGCCCTGTTGGAAATGAGAGTTGCCTTTCCATATAACTAAGAAGAAGTAAATAGAGAAAGAACAGATTTTTCTACTATTCCTCTGTCTCCTATGCCTTCTGTAGCAGATGGCAGTTATAATGGATACCTTGAGCTCTTTTAAGCCACTGAAAGAGCTCTTGCACACAGTAATCAGTAGTACTGAAATTGATTCAGATAATCACTGTTAATCATGATCTAAACCAGTAACCCAGGAACTTTGTTTTAAAGCATCTGTTAGAATCTTGAAAAGCATTGCTAAGTTTTTGTTCTTTTTTTAAAGACAGTTGGATTTTCATTAGCTGGTAATCATAAAAGCAGGTCAATTTGCAGCTAAAATAACCCTTGTTTAATTATGTATTTTGTTTGTTAACCAATGAGAGACTACAGGCTTGTATAATAATTGTCATGCTGGTGTGTACCAATATTTAATTGATTCTTTTGTTGAATGAAGTCATCTGAAGTTTATTTGTCAGACAGGAAAAAGGTAAGCTAGGTAGCACAATTTCTAAATTTAGAACTAGCTAGTTCACTAGGAAAAGTTCTAATTGATACATTGAAGTAATAATTTTTGTCATATTATCCTTCTAGATTTTAAAAGGAAATAAGTATTTTAAAGTCTTTCATGCATCATTTTCATTTTTATGTTAACAGAAGAGTTTTTTCTCTTCTGTTTTTGGCTAATGAAACTGAATGACCCGGTCATTGAATTAAAGTAGCTGAAACATTGAAACAAAGAAAATATTTTTTAACATCTGCAAAAATCCTGTTGTCAAGAACTGATTTAACATTTCAACAAGCTGTACACCCAGGTGTCCAGCTAATGAATTGCTTTTGGCTATCTTTGAAACTTTAGTAACAACAAACAAAATACTACTGGACTACTGTTTGAGTATATTTTAAAATGGATAACTTGTGTTAACTCTTACATTAAATAGAATTAAAGCTGTAATATATAAGTGTGTTTCTAAAATGAAAATGCATTTTTCATCAAACTTTGAGTTTGTGGTGAATGGGGATGACAAGAACTTGAATTTGCAGAAGGTGAAAAGCAGTACTTTAGGCTGATTGTTGAAATGACTTTCTTATGTCAGAACACCGATGATAAATTACATACAAACCATGCCATGGTCGCACAGGCCTCTGGAGCCCTGCTACCTGTCATGTGTGCTGGCAGTATGTGCATTTGTTTGTCAGACTGAAGAGTTTCCCACCTCTATTGAGCTGTTAGCTGCTGCTTTACAAGAGAAAAGGGGCAATGGTGCTGGCTATTATTGCCAGTGGTGGTCTGAGAATGTCAAGACACAGCTTCTGGCTTTGAAAGTAGGACTCTAGAATGAGCAAAATTAATGAAACCACATTCCAGAGGTGTTCTTTATGAGGTTGGTGTTAATTGGTACTTTCTTTTTCAGCTAATCTGCCTGTACCTACTATTGCTGCAATAGATGGAACTGCCTTAGGTGGTGGCCTAGAACTTGCATTAGCCTGTGATATACGGGTGGCAGGTAGGTCTGAATACTGCTATGGAATATGGGGTAATTAGTGTTATAGCTGGCTTGACTAATCTGTCTGTTGGCAACAGTCTTATAAAACTTACTTTGTATTTGACATTGTTTATAACCCCTTATTTTAAAGGGCTTTAGCAGAAACGTGTCTAGGTACTTGCTAATATTTAATTTATAACAGCTTAAGTCTGTTAGCTGGATTTGTTTTGTTAAACGTTTATGTGATTCTTCTGACCCTAATTTTATCAGTCTTGCCAATAGGGTCATGCAATTATTTTCCTTTTTTAATTTTTTTTTTTTTATTTTTGTGCATTTGAAGTGCTTTAGACAGAGACTTGATTTTATCTAAACAGGGTGCAGGGAAAAAACAAAAGTTGCTAGTAAGTGTATTATTACATAAGAAATTAAATTATAAAATTGACAACCACTCTTGAAAAGAGGAACCTTGAGCTAATAAGCTGTCAGTACTGTAAAGCCTGTTGATGGAAAGTAAATGGATACTTGGTTCTGAGCCAGTAAGCTAGGATTTATAAAATTATTTTACTTTAGAGAATATTCTATCACCTAAAGAATTCAAATAATCAGAGACAGAATTCTACCCCATTATAAGATGTTAAGCAATAACATCTGTTTTCTTTTAGTACTTTCCATTTGAAAGCAAGTCTCTGTTACTCACTGTTATTGCTTACTTGCTATGTGAAAATTAATAAAGTACTGAATTTGCCTTGATGGAAGTAGTTGGATCTTTCACTAAAAGCAGGTCAATTGAATCTATGTGAATTTTTTTTCAATAAACAAATTCTTTGAAAAGCGATTTATTTTTCTTTTTGAAGAAAACTTAACATATTAACAAACTGCTAGGTCATCATTATGTATTTTCCATAGATTTTTTTTCCTTCTACATTAGAGTAAGAACTCCTTTACATTCTGTTTTTTAGCATCTTCTGCTAAAATGGGCCTGGTTGAAACAAAGTTGGCGATCATTCCAGGTGCAGGTATGAATGTTTTGCTTTTGCTACCACAGATAACTAAATAACATATGTACTTAGTGTTAGATTTTTAATTGTTTATGGTGCTTATTCTTATATTTCTATTAAGTATTATAGCATGTGTTACAGCTTATTGTTTGTATTATTTACCAAAATTGATTAAAAAGTGTATTTCTTATCTTCAGGGATGGTCACCTGTATATTATGTTTTTAAGCAAAGTCTTCATTAACTAAGTCAACATTGAGTGATTCTGTAAATGACATTTAATGTCTTGATGTGGAGGCTGAATAATTTTGCAAAGGATCAAGCGAGGAAGAAGGATGTACAAAACCAATTATTTGAATTAAGATCCACTTTTACATAACATTTGGTACTTTAAGATTTAAATTCTGTTTTCAAGCTGCTTGTATATTGGCTGTAAAGAGTTTAAGAACTGAAAGTGTAGCTCTGGATAAATCTGTTGGCTTGCCAAGATTTTTTGAGTCAGAATCTTCTTTTTTATTTGGAAGGCCAATTGACTTGCTTTTCACATACTCAAGGTGAATGAAAGTTGTGTAATACATATTTTTCAAGGAGTTGTTACGAAACCCTATGTTATAATTTTATGTATAAATTATTGCTACTTGAATTAAGATATTTGGTACTCTGGGAGAAGGGCAGTAGCTGGGAAAAAAAGTGCATCCCTGTCATTTTTTGCCTTCATTTCTGGGAGTTATTGGGAACTTTATACTCTTTCTTTGCTCCCTTTTTCTTTCTAATGGATGGAACCTATTTTTGCAAGCACTATATCCAATTGTAGTGGATACCATTGCAGGTCACATAAAAAAAACTAGTAATATCAACCATAATGGCAGTAGTGGTATGAACTTTGTGTATAAAACTGTCCCATCCTATGACTAATCTGGACAATTATTGTACAATTTCAATTGCTGTATTATTTTGGTTATTGTTGAGATGTGATTTCAATCAACACTTTCTGTGGTCAGAGCTACGTTTTACATAAGGAAAACAGTTATGATTGATGTCTGGTTTCTTTTCTGTGGATGATTAAGATAATAATGCAGATGATTTTAGAGATGTATTTACTGATAGTGGTGTTGTCATGAAATTATATGCCTTGGAAATAAGTCCCAGTAAAGAAAAAGACAGAAGTTTATGTTGTTTATCTTTGTTGTCAGTTTTTGCTCTTTGTCCTCCCACTCCCTCCTTTCCTAAGTAATTCTGGAGGACAGTATTAGAAACATACTCTCTAGATAAAGAAATTCAGCTCAAATTCTCCATATATTCCCTGTATTCAACTTTTTGAGGTTGTCTTATTTCCTTGTCTTCAGTTAGTTACAGATGTTTCAAACTTCTGTGCTCTTACCTTAAAATTCTAGTTAGCTGATTAATTTTAAGTTTCATTCAGAGTATTTTACTGCTATTCAAAGACTGAGTTGTGAAAAATCTTTTTTTTTTCCTCATCCTAAAATAATGATTCCGGTGTATGTCCTAGGAATTTTTTTGCCTATTCCTATCAGCCTTTCTGACAGCTATTTTTGTTCAAAGGTGTATGTCCTTGGAAATGTGACAGATTTAATCTTGTTACATTGACTTTTCAACTTACAACATTTTGGGGTATGTTCAGTGATGAATTTTTTTGCCTATTCCTATCAGCCTTTCTGACAGCTGTTTTTGTTCAATGTATTTGAGCCAACCACAACTTTTTCCTCATCAGGCTGTGCTTACACCAGTCCTGTTGAGCAATGACAGTATTTCAGTCCTTTTTGCTTCTTGTCGTCCAAATAGTAACTGATTGTGCCTTTTGTGAAAGGCCCAAGAAAGAAAGTGAAGAGTGAGTGAAGGAATTTTGGATATATAATTTAGTTAGAGAAGCCAGATATACACACTTGAACCATACTCTTCGTGGGTTAATGGGATATTTTCTGAGAGTGTTTATTTCAAGCTGCTCTGAGCCAAAACAGAACTGCAGAGTGGAGCTGAAAAGTGAGCTATGGCTCTTAAGAGGCCTACATAGATTTCTGCTGCCATCTAGTACACCTGAAGTCTGCTGGCAAACTGAGTTACTTCTTTGAACTAGGTCCCTGTACTCTGGCAAGCTGCTGATTTTATTCTGCTCTGTCAGCTGCCAGGTGTATCTGACAGATGTAACTTTAAGTTGGGTGATAATTAATGTGAGGGCTTGAAGCTATATGGAAAACATATTTATACTCCGAGGGTCTGCTTTTTTAATACCCCAGAAATTTATAATCAAAGAGCTTTGTTAGAAGATTGTTACTAGAATTCAATGGAATTAAAATATAGATCCAGGGCATATCAGCTGTTATGTTTTGGACCGTGTTGTATATTATGGCTTATTCCATTCCTAATAAAATGTGATTGTCAAGACACAGTGAGGTGCTGTCTATTGACCAACACAGACTTCCCAGGTGCAAGAAATGTTTCTTTTGATTATGCACATATGTACTGCAACTTTCTAAAGGCTGAGTTTGACCAGCAGTTAGTTCAGTTAACCAAAATGTTCCTTCTAAGTCTGCTGAGGGTCTTGACCAAGTAGGCATTTATAGAGTATGCTGTATTGTAACAGGTTGAATCTCCTCAGAAAATTCATCCATGACAAACAACATAGCAAGACCAAGTGGGATGGCAGCAGTGCCTTTTTTTATACAATAGCTATGTTTACAGACCTGCTGTTCACATTGTGAGGGAGCAGGATTATCCTTTTGCATTTGGAAATCTAAACCCAGTTTTCTTCACTATGGGAAAAGCTTAAACTGCCAGAACATGAACTAGGAAAAGCAGAAAAACTTTCTGTTCTTCTTCTTGAGTACATCCCACTTTCTAGTAAGGAAGGCAACATTCAAAGAACTAGGTGAAATATGTAACAGAGAGAAAAGCTTGGTAACTTGGCAATGGGAAAGTTACCTGAGAATGAATATTGAAGGTTTTTTGTTTTCTAAGGAGAGTCTGCCAATCACCATTGCAAAAGTGGTCTTATGCCTACACAAAAAACATGTGTCATAGAATCATTTAGGCTGGAAAAGATCTTTAAGCTCATGAAGTCCAGCTGTCAAATAAGCACTGCCAAATTCACCACTACGCCATGTTGCCAAGTGCCACATCTACACCACTCAAGTGACTCAGCCACTTCCCTGGACAGCCTGTCCAGCACTTGATAAAACTTCAGTGAAGAAATTTTTCCTGATATCCAGTGTAAACCTCCCTTGGTACAACTTGAAACATTTGTTACTTGGTGAAAGAGATTGACCCCAGCCTCCTTTCAGTTTATTGTAGAGAGCAATAAGGTCTCCCTTGAGCCTCGTTTTCTCCAGGCTTAACAATCCTCAGCACTTCCTCACAAGACTGGTGCAACCTTCACTGGCTCTACTGCCCTTCTCTTGACATACTTCAGCGCCTTAATATTTTTTCTGTAGGGATCCAGAACTGGACACATGATTCAAGGCATGGCCTCACCAGTGCCAAGTTCAGGGTGACAATCACTGCCTTGGTACTACTGGCCACTCTATTGCTGCCACAGGCCAGGATGCCATCGGCCTTCTTGGCCATCTGGGCACAAATGGCTCATGTTCAGCTGCTGTCAACCAGCCGCCCAGGTCCTTTTCTGTCAGGCTGCTTTCCAGCCACTCTACCTCAAGCCTGAAGCAAGGGGTTTCCCCAAGTCTCTTTTCTTTTTTTGTGGGGTTCCAGTAAAACTTTCTGTTCACTCAGGCTGGTCTTCCTTCTAATGACTCTTCTTTTGCCACTTAGGGATGGTCTGCTCCTCTGCCTTTAGGATTTGCTTCTTGAAGAATGTCCAACCTTCCTGAAAGCCTTAGCCCTTCTGGACTGCCTCCCAAGGGACTCTATCAACTAGCCTCCTAAACAAGCAAAAGTCTCTCTTCTGTAAGTCTGTGGTGGCAATTCTGCTGACTACGTTCCTTACGGCTCTGAGAACTGAAAACTATCATTTCATAGTTACCCGTGCCCTAGATGGCCTCCGAGCAGCAAATCATCCTTCTCTATTCATAAATAGCAATAGAGCACCTGGCCTCTTGGCTCACTCACCAATTCTGTCAGGAAATTATCTTCCATGTAGTCCAGGAATCTCTTAGACTGTTTCTTCTGTGCTGTATTGTATTTCAGAGTGTGTATGGGTTTGCTCATCCTCTCTCTTCCTCAAGTTGAACTCAGTGTCTGTTAGCCTGTTGTGGTATAATTTGTGGTTTACAGGGTAGAGGTTGCAAAAACAAACAGTCCCCAGAATTTTGTTAAAAATAGGTGGCCAGATGAAAGAAAAATTGTGTTGGCCTCAGATGAAAAAGTTTCAGCACAAACTAACCTGATCTTTGGCATGCAAGAAAAGGTACAGGAAGGAGTTGTTGTGTGTGTCTTAGCTGTGGATAATATTTCAGTCAGAATACTCATTGCAGTGGACAGGAAGTATTTTGTATGAGACAGGATTTCATGAGAAAGTAGACTCCATTAGCTTTGCAGTTTAAGGAGATGCTTGTTATCAGTCAGGAGCTATTCATTGCTATTTCTCAAAGCTATTCATTGCTAAAAGGAGTTACTATTTTTTGATCTCTTAGTTAAAAGCTTTTTAAACAACTTATTTTCTGTGTAATCCTGTGTCTGTACAGAACTCAAAGTAGTGTGGGCAGAGTCTTTTTACACAAGAAAATTGTATTCATTCTCTTTATTTTGTTTCCCAAACTGACATTAGAAAAAGTGCAATTATCTGTCATTAATTGAATGTAGTTTTTGATGTCTCTCAGCTTGAAAAGGAAGTGTCTTTCAGTGACAACTTTCTCCTCAGCCAAAAATTGTCTTTTGGAGCATTTTTTGTTGAAGTCCTTTGTTTTTCTGCTTTGTAACTTTTTAAAACTGTCAATTCGTGATGTAATTCAGTTGTTTATCTCTAGATTTTCACAGTGGATGTCATACTAAGCCTGTAATTGATAGATGATGCCTTTCAGGCACGTCTGCTTTTGTTTATTAGTATTGT